TGCTACCATATGTCATAACCTACTCAGTCTTGACCTCACTCTCCTCCCGGCCTACTTACCTTCCCCCTCCCCCCCTCCCAGTGTTCTACCATTTGAAATTGCCAACAAACTCCTGAAATTTAAATCCAAACGCTCCACGACTCCAATTGACCTCCCAAACAAAATTTACAAGGACTTTGCAGTCGAACTTGCCACCCCCCTCTGTTCCATTATTAATGCATCCCTCAGCAAATGCCCTAATAAATGGAAAACCGCATTTGTCACCCCTATCCCCAAGGTCACCACCCCACAGTCACTTAGTGACCTCAGGCCAGTTGCCATTACCCCCACACACAGTCTACTCTGTGAAGACTTTGTTCTTGAATGGGCATTTCTTAGTATTTATCAGTCAATTGATCCACAGCAATTTGGCAATATGAGGACCTCCTCTACATCACACTGCTTAGCTTCCTGGATTTTCTACACAAAAACCTGGAGAAACGTAAGACATCACTGGCCGTTGCCCTTGTTGACTTCAAGAAGGCTTTTGACCTTGTTGATCACTGCACTGTTATCAACAAGTCCATTGCACTAGAGCTGCCCACCAACCTGGTCTCATGGCTCACTGATTTCTTGAGTGAGCTTCGTCAGGCAGTGAGGTACCAGGGCTTGGTCTCCACATTACAACACCTCACCTGCGGTGTTCCCCAGGGGACCAAGATGGGACCACTGTGCTTCCTAATCCTGATTAACGACACTCTATCGGACACTCCTCACAGGTGGAAGTACGTGGATGACTGCACTGTGGGGGTTACAGTGGACAACACCTCACCAGACTACTCATCGCTACAAGGCACCCTGGACAGGCTACAGGCATGGACTACGGAGCTGAGGGATATTTACAACGCCTTTATTCTTCCCAAATTAACGTATGCGTCACCAGCCTGGTCGTCTTCTCTCAACTTTACCCAACAACGTCAGCTAGAGAAGGTATAGAAGAGAGCCTGCAGAATCATGCTCGGCGCAGACTACTAGGGCTACAACAGCGCTCTCTCCACCCTGGAAATGCCATCCCTCAGTGACCTCCACCACCACCCACTAGCAGGATTTGGCAGTGGACTACTGCACCATCTTCGTCATCACCACCTACTGCCACCGGCAGTCCCCCGCCCACCTCGCGCAGTCCGCCACTACAACAAAATTCAGCCCATAAGAGCCCGCACTGATGGATATAAGAACAGCACCATCCCATCTATTGTTAAAATAATAAACAACTCCTGATTTATGTACTGTACAGCCCTGTAAATGTATTCAACGTATATTATGTCTAAATCACAAACAAGTTTGTATATTTTCAGCCACCGGCTGTAACTCTATTAATAAACCGTTTATTATTATTATCATCACAAAATTCATGACGTCACAGTATACTCCACTGATTGGCTGACGAACACCAACAATCCATGACGTCACAAGTGTCATTCATTCAATGCATGACAAATACAAACACAAAATCTCTCAAGTCACAAGAGATATCCGTTGATTGGCCCAACAAAAGCGTTATTCCACGACACTATAAACGTCGTTCACTGATTGGGTGGCTAATAGGCATTCGCTGATGTCATAAGTGGTATAAGACGGTTGGCCCGCTTAGAAGCTTGCAGTCTCATGTGATACGTCATTCCTTTTCCCTCTCGTTCAATATAGCGCGTTTTTTCCCAGCTGAGAAAAGATGCCCCGCCCCCTCCTCAAAAGTTACAGCTGATTGGCTGTTGCAAACCTGTCCGATTTTGTCCTCAAGTAATGATGTATTTCCAAATGAGTTTATTCATAATCGTTGGGATGACCGTTTATGACGAGAAGAATATTTAGCTAAATTATATAAAGAAACATTCATTTATTATTTCAAACATAAGCACGTAGGAAGTTTATCAGAAGTATTATACATGAATTAACTGTTAAACTCTGGTAGCAAATTCACGCTTTCGGAGGATGCATTTAATATATACAGTACTTATTTTTACCCACAATAAGGCACACTAAGACAAATTTCGTATCAGTAAATACTACATTATGCAAAAACAACATTTTTAAAGATCAGAATCACATTGAAATATTACACGACCGTCAACAGAGGCGGGAAATATGACCGCGAACAACTTCATATTTTTCCCGCCAGATCTCTCTCTCTCTTCACCCTGACACTGATCTGAGAGAGAGAGAGAGAGAGAGAGAGAGAGAGAGAGAGAGAGAGAGAGAGAGAGAGATCTTCCCGCCCCAATAATGGTTTATGAAGATATTACCAACTATGTATAACCTGATAATGAGTAATAATGATAATAATAATAATAATAATAATAAAAACAACAAAATAATAATAATAATAATAATAAAGAAGAAAAAGAAGAAGGTCCAATCAATCACGCCCAAGTAGTCAAGGTACCAGGACCAATTTGAGCCAGTCCAAAAGTCCGAGTCACCAAATCATCAAGTCCACGTCACTAAGTCCGTGGGTGGGACAGGTCAGACGAGACAGGAGGAAAAGTTCCCTTCTATGCTACAGAGGAAACCTTCAGTATCCCGTATAGTAAATATTTACTTCCCGCCTCTCTTGCACTCCCCGCCCCCCATGCGAACGGGTGCAGGTGTGGGTGGGCATGTGTGGGCATGTGTAGGCGTGTGGGTGTCAGAGTCTATGAGGGTGTGGTGTATAGGTGGGTGTAGGGATTATGAACGTTGATTGTGGGGCGTGCATGGTATAGTGTGAAGTGGGCGTGAGGGTGTGGGCGGAGAGTGGGGCAGGGGCTACAGAGAGCCCACCTGTCCGTTGGCCAGACTACTGTAAACACAGAGGTCAACCTCTTCTTCTCTCTCAGCGTATTAAAGTCAACTGTAAATACATGGCAAAAAATACCTACGCTAAAAAAAAAAATTCAAAAAAAAACCCAGCTGAACTTAAACTTTCTTAAAACACAAAACCAACACAAGAACGACACCAATGTCCCTCCCTACCCCGGCGGCCATTCATTGTTGACATAATTCAGGTCACACACACACACACACACACACACACACACACACACACACACACACACACACACACACACACACACCGGGATATATCAGGTAGAGGTCTTATTATGACACACGATTATAACAGACAGACGGATAGACATATATATACACACATCTCCATTTACGGAAGGGAGGAGGAGGGTAATGAAAAGGAGGAAGAGGAGAAGGAGGAGGAAGAGGAGGAAGAGGAAGAAGAGGAGGAAGAGGAAGAAGAGGAGGAAGAGGAGGAAGAGCAGGAGAGGAGGAGGAGGAGGGAGGGGAGAAGGAAGAGAAAGAATTCAGAAAGGGGAGAGGGCTATCGAGGAAGAGGAGAAGGACTACTAGGAGGAAGAGGAGGAGGACTACAAGGAGGAGGAGCAGGACAATGAGGAGGTAAAGAAGGAAGAGGAGGAGGACAACTAGGAGGAAGAGGAGTGATATGGAGGAACCTAGAGGAGGAGAAGGAGAGGAGGACCGTCATCTAAGCCTGGAAACACACACACACACACACACACACACACACACACACACACACACACACACACACACACACACACACCCCCGCCGCCGCTACCCAGAAAGAGATCGCTAATTAAAACGTCGCAAGTGCCTCCAACACCTTGACAGCAGCCGTCGCCACACCACCACACCTGCCACCTTATACCTACCTCCTGCCCCTTATACTCTAGCTCTCTCTCTCTATATATATACTGTATATTGATATCAGGGGGTGGGGGTGAGGGGAGGGATCTCAGGTCTTCCTCTCCCACATCCCTGACCCCTCATCCTATAGTGATCCACCCAAGCTAGTGTTCCCTCCCTCTCAGTACACACCTGCTTGTTCCCTCCTCCTTCAGTACACACACCAAGCAAGCCTCCTCCCAGTACACACCCAAGCAAGTGTTCTCTCCTCCTTCAGTACACACACCCAAGCTAGTGTTCTCCTCCTTCAGTACACACGCAAGCAAGTGCCTCTCAGTAGACACACCCAAGTGTTCTCCTCCTCAGTAGACACACCCAAGCTTAGTCCCTCCTCCTCAGTAGACACACCCAAGCTGTGTCCCTCCTCCTTCAGTACACGCAAGGTTCCCTCCCTCCTTCAGTAACACACCCAAACAAGTGTTCTCCCTCCTTCAGACACACCTGCTTGTGTTCCCTCCTCAGTACACACCCAAGCAAGTGCTCCTCTCTTCAGTACACACCCAAGCAAGTGTTCTTCCTCCTCAGTAGACACACCCAAGCTTGTGTTCCCTCCTCCTTCAGTAGACACACACCAGCAAGTGTTCCTCTCTGTGTAGACACACCAAGCTGTGTTCCCTCCTTCAGTGCACACCCACAAGTGTCTCCGTCCTTCAGCACACACCGCAAGTGTTCCTCCCTCCTTCAGTAGACACACCAAGCAAGTGTTCTCCTCCTTCATAGACACACCCAAGCTTGTGCCCCTCCTCCTTCAGTGCACACCCAAGCAAGTGTTCCCTCCCTCCTCAGTACACACCCAAGCATGTGTTCCCTCCTCCTCACAGTACACACCAGCAGTGCTCCCTCCTCCTGCAGACACACCTGCAAGTGTCTCCTCCTTCAGTAGACACACCAAGTGTTCCTCCTCCTTCAGTGCACACCCAAGCAAGTGTCTCTCCTTCAGCACACACCCAAGCTTGTGTTCCCCCCTCCTTCAGTACACACCTCAGTTTCAGGTTCTCCTCAGTACACACCAAGCCCTCCTCCTCGAGACACACCGTCTCCCTCCTTCAGTACACACCAGCCAGTGTCTCCCTCCTTCAGTACACACACCTGCTTGTGTTCCCTCCTCCTTCAGTAGACACACCCAAGCAAGTGTTCTCCTTCAGTACACACCCAAGCTTGCCCTCCTTCAGTAGACACACCAAGCAAGTTTCCTCCTCCTTCAGTAGACACACCCAAGCAAGTGTTCTCCCCTCAGTAGACACACCCAAGCAAGTGTTCTCTACCTCAGGTGCATGTAGAGTTCAGCAAGAGCCTTTACAGAGGTGCAGAAGGAGTACCTCTCAGCCTCCACACCGATGACGTAGGTAATGAAGGCAACATTATTAACTCCGCGTTGCGTAAAATAATTTTCTCGAATGTAAATGAAACTAAAAGCAAAGAAGAATTCAAAGTCAAAAATAAATAAATAAATAAATAAATATTAAATAACCACTAAAGATATATGTCAAGGCCGTGAATAAATACACTACCATTATGCGTCTTCCATCGCCAGTACGAGCAATCGACACCGCCTGACGTTCACCTCCCCATCACACTTTGGGGAAACTTAAGCCAGACTAACTTTAGCTCATTTTCTGCCCGTGGTGGCGGACTTTTTGTGTGGTAGGGTGACTCAACTTCTGCGACACCCTGTACACGCTGCGAACGATAACCACACACACACACACACTCTCTCTCTCTCTCTCTGTCTATCTATCTATTTATCTATTTTCTCTCATTATCTCTCTCTCTCTCTCTCTCTCTCTCTCTCTCTCTCTCTCTCTCTCTGTCTATACATTTTCTCTCATTTCTCTCTTCTCTCTCTCTCTCTGTCTATACATTTTCTCTCATTGTCTCTCTCTCTCTGTCTATACATTTTCTCTCATTATCTCTCTCTCATTATCTCTCTATCTCTCTCTCTCTCTCTCTCTCACTATATATATAACTCGCACGTTCTTCCCCAGTGTGGAAGTTCACGAGACCACAGGAACTTCCCAGAGCCGTGGTGTAAACAGGAAATAACAACCTGATGATAATGATGGGAAATGACAACACGGTGAGAGGTGTGGTCATGAGCTCTCTCTCTCTCTCTCTCCACACACACAAACACACACACAAACACACAAACACACACACACACAAACACACACACAAACACACACAAACACTAAAAAAAACTTGTCTACAAAAATAACAACAAATGAAACGATCGATAAATAAACTAATTAATCAAGTAAAAAAATAGCCAAGGGGAGGAAGGTGGCACAGTGGATAACTCAAGTGCCAACCTCCCCCCAGTGCCAACCTAACCTAACCCAACCTCGCTCCATGCCAACCTTACCTCACCCCCGTGCCAACCTCCACCTCACCCCCAGTGCCAACTTCTACCCAACCTCGCTCCATGCCAATCTTACCTCACCCCCGTGCCAACCTCACCTCACCCCAGGTAACCCTTCTCAACCTCGCTCCATATCTTACCTCACCCCGTGCCAACCTCACCTCACCCCTGTGCCAACCTCACCTCCTCCCCCCATGCCAGCCTTACCTCCCCACCACACCCTTCTAGTATTACAGTCCTATTTTTCCTCAAATCTTCATAAATATTATCAAACGACCGTAAGATAATTTAATTACAATAACTCAGGTAATTACAGGTGTGAGACCGTGGGTAATTGGGATCCTCAATGGGTCGTAATTCTATTTTGTCTTAAACCGATAAATACTGTACGTGTATGGTGTCTATAATGGGTTAATGGTCACTTATATGGTGAAGGGGTGAAGGTGTTGAGGTGAGGTGTTGAGGGTGAAGGGAGTGTTGAGGTGAGTGTTGGTGAAGTGTTAGTGTGTTGAAGGAGAGGGGTGTTGAGGTGAGGTGTTGTTGAGGTGAGGGTGTGAGTGGTGTGAGGTGTGGTGAGGTGAGGGGTGAGTTGAGGTGAGGTGTTGAGGTGTGGGGGGGTGTTGAGGTGAGGTGTTGAGGTGAGGTGTTGGTGAGGTGAGGTGAGGGGGTGTTGGGGTGAGGTGTTGAGGTGAGGGTGTTGGTGAGGGTGTTGGTGAGGGTGTGAGGTGTTGAGGTGAGGTGTTGGGGTGGGGTGTTGGTGAGGTGTTGGTGAGGGGTGTTGGTGAGGTGTTGGTGGGGGTGTTGGGGTGAGGTGTTGGTGAGGGTGGTGAGGGTGAGGTGAGGTGTTGAGGGTGTTGGGGTGAGGTGTTGGGGTGAGGTGTTGAGGTGTTGAGGTGAGGGGTGTTGAGGTGGGGGTGTTGGTGAGGGGTGTTGGGGAGGGTGTGGGGTGAGGTGTTGAGGTGAGGTGTTGAGGGTGTTGTTGGTGAGGTGTTGGGGTAGTGTTGAGGTGAGGTGTTGAGGCAGGGTGTTGAGGTGAGGTGTTGGTGAGGTGTTGGTGAGGTGTTGGTGAGGTGTTGGTGGTGTTGGTGAGGTGTTGGTGAGGTGTTGAGGTGGGGTGTTGAGGTGGGGGTGTTGAGGGTGAGGTGTTGAGGCGAGGTGTTGGGGTGAGGTGTTGAGGTGAGGGGTGTTGGTGAGGTGTTGGTGGTAGGAGGTGTTGAGGTGAGGGGTTGAGGTGAGGTGTTGGTGAGGTGTTGGTGAGGTGTTGGTGAGGTGTTGAGGCAGGGTGTTGAGGTGGTGTTGGTGAGGTGTTGAGGTGAGGTGTTGAGGTGGGGTGTTGAGGGTGAGGTGTTGGTGGGGTGTTGGTGAGGTGTTGAGGTGAGGTGTTGGTGGGGTGTTGAGGCAGTGTTGGGGTGAGGGTGTTGAGGTGAGGTGTTGAGGTGAGGTGTTGGTGGGGTGTTGAGCGAGGGGTGTTGGTGAGGTGTTGAGGGTGAGGTGTGAGGGTGAGGGTGTTGGGGTGGGTGTTGGTGAGGTGTTGAGGTGAGGTGCTGAGGTGGTGAGGTGTTGAGGTGAGGTGTGAGGGTGAGGGGTGTTGATGGTAGGAGGTGCTGAGGTGAGGGGGTGTTGAGGGTGAGGGGGGCGAGGTGTGCGTTCGGTGGATTAAGGGGAGTAAGCAAGCGAGTAGTTAACCAACAGATAGGCCCAGGCGTGCACCCACCCCACGTTCCTCCCACTCACCCCTGCACCCCACCTCCCTTAATCACCCTCTTCCTCAGCCACCCTCACCAACCCTCATTCACCCCACCCATACCTCAGCATTTCTACCCACCCCTCACACACGCCTCACTCACCCTCTCACACTTAATTAACGTTCTCGTCCCACCACCCAAAATAAACATCAATAAAGCTAAAAACAGCCATTAAAAAAATCACATTTGGTTCAATTGCTTCTGAGATTGGTTCATTGTTCTGCCATGGTGTAGAGAAGCCCTTGTGTGTGTGTGTGTGTAGGTGTTGTGTGTGTGGTGTGTTTGTATGTGTGTGTGTGTGTGTGTGTGTGTGTGTGTTGTGTGTTGCTGTGTGTGTGTGTGTGTGTGTGTGTCCCGTCTCCCAGGTATCTAACAAGCGACAAACTATTGAGTCACCAGTCTAGTTTATTTCGCCTGATGACTAAACACCCTAACGTTACCTGGGGGGAGAGAGGGTGGTTGTTAGTTCCCATTACCTGATTTCCTCTCACTTCTTCACTTCCCCATACCCCCTACCTGATTTCCACCCCTCTTTCCCCTTCTCATCTCCCTCATACCTGATTTCCACCCTTTCCCTTCTATCTCCTCTACCTGATTTCCACCCCTCTTTCCCCTTCTCATCTCCCTCCTACCTGATTTTCAACCCTCTTTCCCTTCTCATCTCCCTCTCACCTGATTTCCTCTACCTCTCACTTCTCCTCTCAGTGCCCTCTACCTAACTTCCTTCCTTTCCATCATCACCCCCCCGGCTACAGGTGGGTGCCAAACAGGTACCTAGTGGAGGAGAGGGAGGGAGGCCAGGGGTTTCAACACAGTATGACGGGACACACTCAGCCGCCAGCTAGACTGTGTCGCACACGCTAAAACGTCAAACTTTTTGCGTCGTAGTTGGTGATGTTAGATAAGAATGTAACTAACTCACGTAAAAGCTGAGACACTGGGATAGATTCTTAAAAATTAACGTCCATTTTTTTTCCCCTTTTACCTTACGACACAAAGATGGATTCTCGGAAGTTAATATCACCTTTTTCCCCTAGGAGGTGAGAGAACTCGTCTGAATGGCCCGCATATCTCAAAGGCTCCTACGTCAATCTTATATCTATCGGGGGCTATTAAACACACCTTATCCACCCAACAACTTAAGCTACGACACAGAGATGGCTTCACAGAGATCCATACGTCAATCTCCTCCCTTAAATGGCGGTGAGAACCTATCCACCTGACTCACTTACCTCGAGATTAAACACCACCTGGAGGGGTTGGGTTGAGTTGGGGTAGGAGTAGGTTCGGTTGAGTTGGGGTTGGGTTCGGTTGGGTTGGGTTGGGAGTGGACAGGTTGAGGTGGGTTTGGGCTGGGGTAGGTTGGGTTGGGTTGAGTGGTGGGTTGGGTTGGGGTAGGTTGGGTTGGGTTGAGTAGGTTCGGTTGAGTTGGGGTAGGTTGGGTTGGAGTCAGGGTAGGTTGGGTTGGGTTGGGGCTAGGTTGGGTGGAGTTCGGTTGGGTCGGGTCTGTGTGTTCAATATTCAGGTAAAATAAACAAAGTGTATAATCTTCACGTGATCCTTAAAATTTCCTCGTAACTATACAAAAAAAAACCCGCGTATTAAGGGAACATACGACATCTTTTCCTCGTAACTGGGGGCATTAGAACGTGTTTTGGCCCAGATTCTCAAAGGTTCGTATCTTAAGTGTTCCCGGTCCTGTGGTAGAGTCTCAGTGCAGGAAACACGTCATCTTGATCGCTTTGTTTGTGTTGTAACCCAAGGGTGATGTAGTATAATGCTGATGTTGGGTGGAGAGGATGGCCTGGCGTTGTTCATCGTCCGTGCTGGCGTTGCGTTGTTAATCATCAGCGTTGGCGTTGTATGGGTGTAGCGTAAGGTCAGGCGTTGTTGATCGTCCACCCTGGCGTTGTTTGTGTGGGAGGAAGGCCAGGCGTTGTTGATCGTCCACCCTGGCGTTGTTTTGGAGGAAGGCCAGGCGTTATCGTCCACACCGTTGTTTGTGTGGGAGGAAGGCCAGGCGTTGTTGATCGTCCACCTGGCGTTGTTTTGTGGGAGAAGGCCAGGCGTTGTTGATCGTCCCCCTGGCGTGTTGTGTGGGAGGAAGGCCAGGCGTTGTGATCGTCCACACCGGCGTTGTTTGTGGGAGGAAGGCCAGGCGTTGTTGATCGTCCACCTGGCGTTGTTTGTGGGAGGCCAGGCGTTGTTGATCGTCCACCTTGGCGTTGTTTGTGTGGGAGGAAGGCCAGGCGTTGTTGATCGTCCTGGCGTTGTTTGTGTGGGAGGAAGGCCAGGCGTTGTTTGTGTGGGTGGGAGAAGGCCAGGCGTTGTTGATCGTCCACCGGCGTTGTGGGTGGGAGGAAGGCCAGGCTTGTTGATCGTCACACCGGCGTTGTGGTGGGAGGAAGGCCAGGCGTTGTTGATGGTCCACCGGCGTTGTGTGGGGGGAAGGCCAGGCGTTGTTGATCGTCCACACGCGGCGTTGTGTGGGTGGGAGGAAGGCCAGGCGTTGTTGATCGTCCACACCGGCGTTGTGTGGGTGGGAGGAAGGCCAGGCGTTGATCGTCCACACCGGCGTTGTGTGGGTGGGAGAAGGCCGCGTTGTTGATCCCACCGGCGTTTGGTGGGACGCGTTGTGATCGTCCACCGGCGTTGTGTGGGTGGGAGGAAGGCCAGGCGTTGTTGATCGTCCACACTGGCGTTGTGTGGGTGGGAGGAAGGCCAGGCGTTGTTGATCGTCACACCGGCGTTGTGTGGGTGGGGAAGGCCAGGCGTTGTTGATCGTCCACACCGGTGAGGAAGGCCCTTACCACACTGTGTGGGTGGAGGAAGGCCAGTTGTTGATCGTCCACACCGGCGTTGTGGTGGGAGAAGCGTTGTTGACGTCCACGGCTGTGTGGTGGAGAAGGCCAGGTGCTGCTGACTACCCACGCAGGTACAGTAGTATAGTTTGAAACAAAGGCGCGGTCTTCTGTTTCCTTGGGTGGGTCTGTGAGGGTCACGTGTTCCTGAGAGCGGTCTGTACACATCTTGAGAGCGTCTCTACACATCTGAGAGTGCCCTACACATCTGAGAGCTGCCCCTACACATCTGAGAGCGTTCACACATCTGAGAGCGTCTGTACACACCTGAGAGTGTCTCACACATCTGAGCGTCTCACACATCTGAGAGTTCACACATCTGAGAGCGTCTGTACACATCTGAGAGCGTCTGTACACATCTGAGAGCGTCTGTACACATCTGAGAGCGTCTGTACACATCTGAGAGCGTCTGTACACATCTGAGAGCGTCTGTACACATCTGAGAGCTGCCACACATCT